CAAACATTCACCACATACTCTGCTTTCAAGCGGCATTTTTATCGTGTGCACAATGCACCTGCACTTCAAGCTACTCCTAAAGCTCTTGTTGCAGATTTAAAATGTGCGGTTTCATTATGTGCCCGCCATTTCCAAACAGTGAAAGAGCTAGTGTCTCACTTAAACGATCATATTACAGAGGGCAGGTCTGTGTCATGTCCAGTAAGTGGTTGTAAGCATATGTTTACAAAAAAGTCATCATTTACTTCTCACATGTGTAGGAAGCATAAAGCTTGTTCCCCAGATGGTATTGATGACATGTACGATTGTCCTCAGCCCCCAAATGACAGTACAGAATATTCAGAAAACACACATGAAGCCATGCCATCTGCTAGTTCAGCCAGTGATATGCCAGAGAAGGATAGTCATTCTTATCTCAGAAGCATGTGTCTCTTTTACCTTAAACTGCAAGGACAGCTGCTAATTCCTGCCTCTACTATACAGACTATTGCTGAGGAAATGCAGAATGTGCACGAATTGGGTCAAGCCTACACAATAAATAAGGTAAGTTGTTTACTAAAAAATGAAATGAACCCATCAGATGAAGCAGTCACTAAAATCTGTGACTGCATTAAAGAGTCAGATTTGCTCTCTGCTTGCCATCAGGGACAACTAGGAACAACACACACCAGAAATCAAACATTCAAAAAAATGTTTAAATACACAGAACCCAAGAAAGTGCCATTGGGAATGGATGAAAACATGACAGGAAAATTTGCTTACTACATACCAGTTGGAGAAACTCTGAAGAGCTTTTTAGAGTCAGTTATGGAGGAATACACAGTCACAACAGTTTGGGGGTCCTGATGTAGAAATTTTTAAGGATTTATATGATGGAAAATTTTTCAAATGTCACCAGTTCTTTAATGAAAACCCTGAAGGCCTCAAACTGATTTTGTACCAAGATTCAAATCAAATCAAATCACTTTTATTGTCACATCACATGTGCAGGTACATTGGTACAGCACATGCGAGTGAAATTCTTGTGTGCGAGCTTCACAAGCAACAGAGTTGTGCAAAATACAATAACATAAACAGGCAAAATATACGATTGGCTAAATCTGAAACTAATAAATATACGTACAATATATAATAGTATATGCAAAAAAATAATTTCTGGATAAGATAAGATAACCTTTATTAGTCCCACACGTGGGAAATTTGTTTTGTCACAGCAGGAAGTGGACAGTGCAAAAGTTATGAGGCAAAAATTAGGATACAATAAGAATAAATACAGTACACAACTGTACAGGATAGAATGTGGATGTGTATACTAAATGTTTTTCTATGTGTGTGTGTGTGTGTATACACATATTTTACAAATTAAATAGAGTCAATAAATAAAATATATAAAAATATACAGAGTTGAGACATGTGCAAAACAGTGGCATTACTGTACAGTATGGAGTGCATAATGTTGAAGTTCCAGTAGTGAAGGTGAGGTGTCTATGACGTGTTCAGCAGTCTGACGGCCTGATGGAAGAAGCTGTCTCTCAGTCTGCTGGTACGGGACCGGATGCTGCAGAACCTCCTTCCTGATGGAAGTAGTCTGAACAGTTTATGGCTGGGGTGACTGGAGTCCTTGATGATCCTCCCCACTTTCCTTGTAAATATGTGTACAAATGGTTGGTTTTTTGTACTGTTTTTATCAATAAATCTCAGCAACAAAGGACATACACCCACCATGTGTGTTGATTTCTCCCTAAGATGGCAAACTGAAACACTCCCAAGTTGGTGACTTTTGGAGATTTATTTCCCTGATGATTGAGAATGCATCAAGACGAACACAAAAGGAAGTTCACAGCTTTTAGCAGCTCGCCCACCCCCTCATCCACACACCCCCACTCCCCTCCCTCCAGAATTCCCAGGTAACAACCTAATTTACATATGAATGACTAGCCAATTTAGCTTCCACTTGGCTGAAGCTAAAGCTTAGCTAAAAGCCTACCAGCCATTTGGCTGCTCTCCAGGTTTTAAAGGTAGAAAAGCCAAATGGCTGCTCTCTGGGAGTTATTTTTTTAAACACGTTAACCTCCTAAGACCCGAACTCTTCCACAACATGCATTTTTAATTTCTCTTTGATATTTGGGCATATTGGGGCCCAATGAATGTAAAAACAAAGAATTACCAGATTTTTTTTTTAACCTTATTTTTGTTTTTAAGAAGAATGAGAGCCACATATGAGGATACTCGTTTAAAATTTTGATAGAACAGTAGCAGTATAATGTCCTCATAAGTAGATATCAGGCCCATGTAGGGCAAAATTGAGTATTTTGGTCTAAATAACCTAAAATGTGAACAGTGGTTCTGAAACTTTTTTTTGCTAGGCCCCCCTTTGTTTTACAAGAAAATCTTCGCGCCCCCCAACCACCTAAATCCCCTAGTTTATTTCACACCTCAAACATTTAGTAAACCAATTAAACAAATAAAAGCTGCAATAAATTACAGGTAGCAATAAACTACTAACTATTTTTTGTTACATCCCCATCTACACGGGTATTTTTGAAAACGCAGCTTTTTCTATGCGTTTGGACCTTTCGTCCACACGTAAACGCCGTTTCAAATTGTCGAAAAAGGAGAACTCCTGTCAGATTTGGAGATTTTCAAAAACTCAGTTTTTGTATTTACTTGTGGACGAGGAGTTTGTCAAGCAACGTCAAAAGGTATGTGCCTTTTTTCACGTCACGCTGTGCGCCATGTTTACATGAGATGAATTTCTACAATGGCAGATGGATAATCTTCCTATCTGCAGTTTTTACACGCTTACATATACACACGTAGTTAGTGTCCCTCCATTTAGAAAGACAGGCACCATGATGGAATTATTTTACGTGTAGTTGTTTTTTTCCTGTGTGATAATATTCAACATTACTATTGATACATTTTTCAAAAAAATGCAGCTGTGCAAAATGGTTTTAGAAACATAAACTAGTGTTTTTCCGCGATTTGGACAGGGGGAACAAATTGTGGCAGGATCACCCTGATATTATTTGTATCCCACTGTAACTTTACTGTATAAAGAGCTGTATAAAAAGCCTCCAAAGTTTCAGGAGTTGTAAGCCAAGAAGTGTTTGTGAACTAAAAATCAAGAATGCGGGATACTGTCCATGATAGCTCAGTAGGTAGCGTGTTTGCCCCATAATTGGAAGGTCGGGGGTTCAAATTTGCTGAACGGCTATCCTGAGCAAGGTACCATCCCTACAAACTGCTCCCCGGGCACCTGATGTGGCTGCCCACTGCTTCACTGAGTGAATGGGTTAAAGGCAGAGAGAGTAATTCCACCCCCCCATTGATTAATAAACTATACACACACAAGAAGTTGTTTAACTGCAAATCTAATCCCTGCAATATCCCAACAGCACATCTCAGTGTTACTACATGACAAAGAAATGCAGCTCAGCATGATCCTTTGGTCTTAAACTGTAAGAAGTAAACATAAAACGACAGTAGTTTTTTTTTTTAATTGCCCAGACTGCACTGTAATTAGGAAACTTCTCTATCACTTAATTGTCTATTACTTCGTAGTATGAATGTCTGTGGCAGTGTTTTTATTAGCAGCACAGGCAGCTGCCAAAGCTATGTAAATAAAGTCCAAATTCTATGCCCTCCACATTTTCCAAAGACATCTAGTAGGTTGGCATCTTTCCTGGATCAAGTCTGACCTCCGGGCCGTATGTTGGACACCCCTGATTTAAACTGACTGGAGCTGAAACTGCTCATTTCTTACACAGTTGTACAACAAATAGTCAACAATGTCCACGTATGTCACATGCAATGCTTCAAGTACCTTAAATATGCATTATTCCTCATTGCCAGCAGGGGGTGACTTCTTTAGGCATACATGAGGTATGTGAATTCATACATTAAAAAAAACAACACTGCCATTTGTACTACAAGTGGGGGGAATTTTTTTTTTAAGTATACAGCTCACATGCAGACTGATATCCATGAGGATTGACACAGATGATCATTAAGCTACAGATCTTACAGTCTGACTTGTGAGTGAATGAGTTTCCCACTGTCAATGGTTTTGGTTTTCTGCAATGTTATACAACACTTTCAAATCAGAGTCCAACAGCCTGTAGCTAACCATCACGAGAAGAAAAATATATAAACTTTGGACAGTCAGAGAAGCTATGTACTTATTTGGTTTCCATGCTAAGCTCACCTAATAGACTCCACTTTCACATGCATCACAATTTAATGCCTGGCTGATCAATCATTCCAGTCTGCATACGCGCACTGAAGAAAAATGAAAGATCTCAGTGGATCAAAGGTAGTTTTCAAATAAACTATATTACAATGTATACAATATTAGTGATTGAAATTAAAGCAATTCACTTAAATCCATCTGCTGTCTACAGACCACACTTTACTGTGTAGAGATCTGACTCATTACACCCATTTTCACTTGAAAATAAAAGCTTTCCACTAGTTTTCACATGGACAGCTTTTCATGTGACGCAAACTTAAGGATAGAGCAACTTATGAAAGCCGAACATTTGAATTGAACTAATGAGTTAAGCTCAAAGTAAGGTTTCCTGTTCCAAAGTAACTACACAACTACTGAAAATGGTGTTTGACAGTCACATGGCTGGCAATCCCAGCAGTGTAAATATACCCTGACGTGTAGGAGTGAAAAGATCACCAGGGACTGGCTTGGTACAGTTTAAGTGGACTGACCGAGACCTATAAAAACGCCACTAATTTTAGGTGTAGGATGTGGCTGTGTAATCTGAAGTAAATGGGCTAAAACATGGGCAAGAAAACCCCTGTGGGCCCTCATGCTTTGTGCTTCCATCAAATGAGGTCTTGGTCATTTGTTTTGACAACCTTTACCAGACTTGACCCAAATGTTCAGTTTATCGGCAGAGAGCTTGCTGTTTAGAGAGAGAAAAAGAGACACATTAATATCAACAGTACTAAACAAGACTCAAAAACAAAACAAAACCAGCAGATGCTTTTAAGTCAAAAGTACTGTAAATAAGATTTATTTGTCCAACATTTCTCAAAGGCCATTTACCTAAAACAGTATGTGTTCAGAGTTATGTACACATTTACACATTTTTTTCCACGTACAGCAGATTTTTCTGAGTATGTTAAATATACATTCCAACAATATATACAAGTTATAATTCTTAGACTGTTAAACTTGTGTTTGCATAAACGAGAAGCTATTGTCAGCCCTTAAAAATGCTGCGGGAGCTATGCTGACAGGATCAGCAGCTACAGATGTTGTGGAGTAGTGATGAAATAGGATCACAAATACCATTTGATACCGATACTACCTTTAAAAAAATACCAGGCCACGATGGCAGCCGCTTGTCCAGCCTCTTCCCCTTCCACCAGCAGAATCCACTTTAGCATAAAGAAAAATAGGTGGCGCTAAATGAAAGTATTCTTTTGTACAGGGGTGTAGGTTCACAAAGAGATTAGTTCTACAAAAACTGAACATACAAAAAATTGTCTTCCGACAGATTATTGCTTTTCCAATTTGAGACGATATAAGATCACTCTTTGTGGACCCGCACCTTTATCTTAACATCTTAAGATTAAAGATAAAAGACAATTAAGAGTAAAACCTAATTAACTTTAATCAAGTTATTTCCTATAACAACAACCCATATGGAAAAGACGTGCTCAAAAACTAGCAGGAAAATAAAGTTATAGAAACAAAAACACTGGCGTCGCGGCTGAATGCTATACCCTGTGAAATAAAACAAAACAGAAAATGTCTGTTCTTGTCTGATCCTTACCATGGAGTCAAGCAGACAAAGGCGTTCTGAAAGCCACTCATCCCGCATGGTGGATCAACCAATTACCTAGAAGAAACTGTCAACAAGGTTTAGCAGCAACATGAACTCCATCATCACACAAAAACACATGCACAGTTCTTAGGTAATTAATCAATTCAAAGCGTTCATCCAGCCTCAAGTTCAGCACACTGAGCCCCATCAAGCTCAGTCTCAATATCTGAAAACAAAGAGAAGTACTTGACCCTACATTTTGAGCACCGTGCTTGCACTCTCTGCACACTTGGTGCAGAACTCCACTGAGACATGATTCTTGTCCACATGAAGACACACGCCACCAGATGTTTCTTTTTCCTCCACTCTGGCCCATTTCCTGGGTAGGGCGTAGTCGTGCTCGTTTGAGTTGGGCCCCTGGAAAAGTGAGGAAGATAATTTCATCCCATTCACACCGCTCAGCCTGGACAAGAGCTGGGCTAACATGCTCTCATTTGCCAGCACAGCCCTCAAGTACCTGGTTTCATCTTCCAACTCTTCCACTCTCTTGGTCAGCTGAGAATTTTCTATTTTGAGCGTGCTATTTTCCGTTGAAAGCATGCCGATCTTCTGCTCCAAGCTATTGACATATTCCTTCTTCTTGAGACGATTTAATCTGGCAGCGATTGCATTTTTGTTAGTCACGTGACTTGACTGTTTTTGCCTGCTGTTCTGGGAGTCAGAGGAATATCTCTCAGGAGATGAGGCAGTTGAAGCTTCAAGCCCGGAGTCTCCATCTTTGGTGTTGTACACACAGAGATCAGCCAAATCAATATTGAAGAGCGAGGATGAAGCATCTCTGTCTAGTGTCCATTTTAAGTCTTCAAACAGGTCATCAAGCTCTACTCCAGCAGCATCCACATCTTTAACTCGGAATCCGTCACATGGAATCGGAAGATCTTTCATACTTTCCACATCTACCGCCTCAACCTCTGGAGACTGCACTTCTGTGTTGGTGACAGTGCGACTTCTTCTAGTGATCATTGTGGTTTGTCAGCTGGACTGCAAGAAACCTGTCCACAAAGACCTGAACATGTAAAGACAGAAACATACAATTATGTTGGCGTAGATTTGATTACCAAACAAAGGTAATACAGTAAACACAGGCCAATGAACAATAACTAATTTACAACTGTACAGAATAATCCAAACATTTATAAAATTGTCGGCATAGTGTTTATTTTCTACCAAACTAATATGAAAGACGTTTAGAGTATTTTCCCGTTTGGGCTCGAAAAATAATTCACTCCTATTAAATCACTTATGAACCACTTCGTGTTAGGTACTGGCACATTCTCCTTACAGGCGCGCTGAGATATCTATTGCTTAAACGTAATAGGAACGTATAATGGCCTCTTGCTAAGCTAAGGCCTAGCTTTACCTAGCCTCTTGCTAAGCTAAGGCTCAGCATTAGCTTCACCTACAATAGGTACTTTTTACAGTAAGTGCTCGACAACACACCACAGAAAGTCGTTTGTTCAATATAAAGATACATTTCCGCATTATCGCAACATTCGCAGATTGAGATACCAAATAATAACATCATCACAAATATTAAGGGCTCTGTAGTGAGCTTGCTGACAAGAGCCCTGGTTGTCCTAAAACCACGTTCGCCTTACCGCCAAGCTAATATTCGTAAAATACGGTTAGCTTTGATTTAATCATTAATGTTCTGATACATTGAAAGAGAGTAAAATATATCCAAGACATACAGTCTAATTCATTTGAAAGTTGAAGTATAAAACGTCCTCTTTTACCGTCCGCTCACATGCTTCTTAGCTGCGGCTAGCCTTGCTAAAACACTAAGGCGCTAACTCATAATGACGCAGCACACTAGTTCTTCAACCGTGTACTTACCTCCCTTTTAGGGAAAACGGCAATAAATGCTTTTGGTATATCCGTTGATTAAATTACCAAGATTACAGATTGCTTATCTGTTTCCTTTTTCTGAAGAATCCGAAATTTTAAACAGAAAACAACACAGAGCAGTCCAAAGAGTGTAACCGAATACCTTCACAGTGAGTTCAGACGACACTTCCGGAAAATTCTTCTTCTTCTTCACAAGGTTAGCAAACATCAAAATGGTGCATTACCGCCACCAACTGGTGTGGAGTGTCCGAAAAATTAATTCAAAATAAGAGCCTTACAACGAACCATTTAAGATGTGCATTTCACAATGGCAAGTCTCAATACTCTAAATTTAAGCAGCGTTTTGTTGCAGTCTCAATACGACGGAAAATTGTACTAGTAATTCATAGCCTTGTTACTGTAATTACCTTCTTTTTGGTCTAACCAATGACTGTAGAAATGACTGTTTTCTACCAATAAGCTTCAACGTGTCCGGGTCTCTGCTTGCCCATGTTATCACTAAGATTCCCTCTATTCACCACATCACCCCTGTCCTGAAGCAGCTTCACTGGCTTTTGAAACTAGGGTGATGTACACTAACCTCATTTAGTCGTGGTCATGTGACCTGGGTGTTTAGAACCTGTTTCGAAACATCTGAGCTTCAGAGGCCCGACACAGTTTCAAAACATCTGAGCTTCCCATCTTTCCCACCTCTAAGTATTAATGACATGTTAGGATAAACATATTATCTTAATGTATCATTTTGAGACTAAAATCAAATTTTAGACATTAAATTCAAAATAGTATTTTGAGGATAAAGAGGATAAGATGATTTGAGAAAAGCCAAGTGTGAGTCAGTTTCCTTAATTCTGGAATGTGAGTTAAGCCTAATCTGATTGCAAAACCTGCCAGACAGCACAGGATATAAAAGCAAACAAAAAATCCTGAATCAAAAATGTAATGGCTTACAAATTCCGAGTTGCATTTTTTTAACAGTGCAATTTACTCTCAGAAATAGAAGATATAATTTTCCAACTTAGAGAGAGATGTCAAAAGGTAAACAGTGAATAGATTCAAGGTCTTTAAGTGATATGTGGTGTACTGCACTAAACGTGCTAAATACAAGACTTCACTTCATAATGTAGCAGTGGTTATGAGTCCATCCATTTGGATGGGAGAAGCAAGGTGAACATGAAGGAAGCTGGCAGTCTGAATGTGCAGTGGAACCAGGAACGGTGGCATGGTTTTGCAATTTGCAATAGAGCTGGAGGTTATCCAAGCTCTCTGTTGTACCTTTAACTAGAGGCAGATCACAATTAGAATTAGAATTAGAACATACTATGCCAGCTTTATTTATAAAGCACTCTAACATAAAACCAGGGTTCACAAAGTGCTGTAGGCGGATTGATCCAAATATTGATCATATCAATACCAAGTCTGCATCGGTATCGGATCGATACTAGCCTGGTGAGATTGATTCTTTACTTCCGCTCTTGTTTGCAATGCTGTGGTTTTGGCAAAGGCCAAACAGCCAGGTTGCTGGACTTGCCGTTCCTGTGTCAGCACAAAGCAGGCACACTTTGCTCCCCCTCCCCCCTCTTGTGTTTAGATGTTGCGCATGACATGACATGACTTGGACGCTTTGGGGGTTGTTAAGTTGTTTACATATTATTTATATTTTCACCAGCTGTTTTTGTATTATAGTTTCTTAACAGTATTTGTTTGTTTTAATTTGTTTACTGGTTTGCATGCACTTCATTACTAAATCACTTTAAGGATATTTGCACTGTACAAGACACTTACAAATGTGGATTGCACAACACTGGACATCATATTTCTTCATTTCCATTCAATACTTGTACAGCTGCTCTTATTGTATATATATATATATTTATATTTCTTCGTACATTCTTATATATTTCTATACTGTGTATTTGTGTATTGTGTATTTTGTTGTTCAGTTATTTTATTTTCAACTTTAATTTATATATTTTATCTTATTCTTTCCCAGTTAAATTTACCCTTCATTCT